GTTTCAACCAGCATTTTGACATTTCAACAAAACAGTGTTTCATTTCAGCTTTTGTTTTGAGTCAAAACGGCTGCTCTATTTCGTTCCGTCAGAAAGCTTTGCCGTTTCGACGTTTCACCCATAGGCTATAATGGGGAAGGTCAAAACAGGCTATAACTTTGTTGTTTCTGGCAATATTTGGATGAAACTTGCAGGTGTGCTAGCCCCTTCTGACAGCATAAAGCTTGCCAAGTTTCAAGGAGATAGGTTTGAGGGGTTGGGGAAACTGCACCCCAAAATCTTGAAAGCAAAACTCATGTCACGTTTGTGTGTTAAGCCACAGTGGGGTCAAAACTGCAGGGGTGGTAGCCCCTGATGATGCCACAAAGCCTGCCAAGTTTCAAGGAGACAGGTGCAGGGGTTTGAGGAAACCGCACCTCAAGCTGTGGACAAGCAAAACTCATGACATGGGTGACACTGTGTGTTAAGATGCAGCAGGGTGAAAGCTGCAGGCATGCTAGCCCCTGCTGCAGCCACAAAGCCTGCTAGCTGTCAAATAAATAGGTGCAGGGGCTTCTGATTTCTGAGGCCCTGCACCTCTAGCTGCTGACAGACAAAACTCATGTCATGGGTGCTTGAAAACTGCAAGCCTGCTAGCCCCTGCCATGGCCACGAAGCCTGCTAGCTGTTAAGGAGATCGGTGCAGGGGGGTTCTGGGGCCCTGCACCCCTAGCTGCTCACAGGCAGAACTTGTGACATGGGTGCTTGGGCAACTGCTGCCTCTCATCAGGCAGCAAGAGTGAACATCCCCCATCACTGGTCACCAAGACCTGGGGGGAATAATTGACCACAGTATGAACATTAGTCGGCAGTGCGATGCTATAGCCAGCAGGGCCAACAATACCCTGGCATGCATCAGGTGATGGTTCTCCAGCAAAACCAGCAGAACCATTGCAAAGAAGTGATTCTCCCGCTTTACTCGGCTCTACTTGGCATTGGTGAGACCGCAGCTGGAGTACTGTGTCCAGTTCTGGGCTTCACACTTTAACGAGGACGTGGTAAAGCTTGAGAGAGTCCAGAGAAGGGCTGCCCATATGATCAGAGACTTGCATGGCAAGCCATGAGGAAAGGCTGAGGGACCTGGGACGCTTCAGCCTGAAAAAGAGAGAGCTGAGAGGGGATTTGGTAGCAGCTTACTGCTACATCAGAAGCGTACATCTAGGGCTCAGTGAACAACTGTTCACCAGTGTACCCTTGGGGAAAACTAGGAGTAATGGTCACAAACTCCTGGAAGATCATTTCAGGCTCATTTCATGATCAACATTAGGAAAAACTACTTCACAACTAGGGTGTCCAGACTGCAGTTTTGACCCCACTGTGGCTTAACACATACACGTGACATGAGTTTTGCTTTCAGGATTCTGGGGTACAGTATCCCTCAACCCCCTCCACCTGTCTCCTTGAAACATGGCAGGCTTTGTAGCCTCAGCAGGGGCTACTATCCCTGCAGTTTTGACCCTGCTATGGCTTAACACATACACATGACACAAGCTTGGCTCTCAAGATTTTGGGGTGCAGTGTCTCTGAACCCCCTGCACCTATCTTCTTGAAACTTGGCATGCTTTATGCCCTCAGAAAGGGCTACCAGTTTTGCAAGTTTTATCCAAATATTGCCAAAAATGACAAAGTTATAGGCTGTTTCAAGCTTCCCCATTATCGCCTATGGGCAGAACGTTTTGACTTGCCTCATTTTGTTTCGAGGCTGTTTTGACCATATCTGTTTCATTTCGATTTTGCTGTTTCAGCCTCAAAACAGGTTGAAACAGCATCAAAACAAAACTCGTGGCAAAATTTCGCACAGCCCTAGTGCACTTCTACCATCACATGTAGATGTGCCCAGTAAGTCTCACCTTATTGCACCTCTTTCAAGCACATCTACACTGTGTCAGATCACACTAGGGGGCACCACTATGAACACACACTTTGCACGTTTGCTCCTTCACCGCACATGCCAAAAAAGCCTGTTGTGTAGCTGTTTTTGGCACATACCCAGCACTGTTCAGACTCTGGTACATGCCCAGAGTTACTCAAATAGTGGCTACATGACTTTTTCCAGCAAGCCGCATCATATAAAATAGGAGTGAATGGATGGTCTAGGATTTGGTGGCTGCTCTCTCTTGCAATGTGCCTGCTGCAGTGTAGACGTACCCTTTGTCACTCAGACAGGGACTAAATGCATCCAGGGATGGCTCATTAGATGCCACTTAAGCAGAAAGAACCAGCTATTACCATGAGAATGCTGTGAGCCAAAGGACACTAAAATGTCTCTCCTGCACTTATGCTGAAGAGACATGAACGAACAATGCACAACTGTATAGATAAGATTATTTTCTGTGTTTTTGTGCTTCTGTTGTTTATATAAGCGGTTTGGGATCTGTTCCCCCTTTTTCAATATTGCTACAAATCTTTAAAAAAATTTAAACCAATGAAGATGAATTGAGACATTTTCAAAAAAGGTTTGTACCTAGTCAAGATTATGCTAAATTAAACCTCTTTAAGGGTCTCAGATTGCATTCTGTTTGGGGAATGGGTGACTGCAATTCCTCTCAATTTAGACTGTGGTTTGAGAATTTGGAACCTGATGCTGAATGCAACTAAGGGTCATATCCCATAATCAACTTCCTCACAAAACTCCCTTCAGTAGTAGCTCTGTGATCAGCAGGACTGTTTCTTCAAAATCTAGTTTTGCTGGCAAAAATAGAAACCTAGAGCCTATCAACATAAATGCAGCAAAAAATGCACGTTGATGCCTATCTTTCTCTGGTGTTTTACATGGTAAGAATAAGACATTGTAACATACTCTGGTCAATGATGCGACTTTCCCCTCTGCTACAAGATATTTAACCTCTGTGATTCTCCGGCGTCTTTTTTGTGGGTTTTTCATAGCAGAGATCGATGTATTTAATTGATAAATAGCCTTGTGTATAATGATTTTGTAATCCAGGCCATTCATCGTTTGAGTAACGGCTATGCCAGTAATTTTTTTCAGAAGAGTACAAAAATAATGGTAATGTATATGCATCTCTATATACACAGGCCCCCTTCTTGCTTCTGTGGAAACTATAGCAGTTTAAGTCAAGGGAAGCATTTTGTTGTAACTCTACTACTACTAATTTTTCTCCCTGTCATCCAATGAATCTGATATACATTATCTATTAAGAATGCCAGCTTCATGCTCCTTTTCTGCCATATGCTTGCCCCATAATCCAGGCAGACCTATGGCTAAGACTGGAATTGGAGAGGTAAGAAGGTCTAGCACAAGGGAGGAACACAAAGTGGGTCTTCAGATTTCCACGTACATTTTGTGTGTTGCCAAATAGAAGAGCAATGTTCCATAAATAACCCTGATTGGCACCATACCTTTTCTCTGGCGAAACCAAGAGAAGTGGACACTGTGAAACCTTTTAAAGATTTCTTGCACCTCTTCACCATCTGGAGGATAGGAGTCCCAGACAGTGAATGGAGTCCTGGACGTAAATACTGGAAGAACCTACTTTCCTGGAAGAACCTACTCTCTACAGGCAAGTCCGACCCAACAAACTGCAAATTATTTCCAGAGAGTTTTCCCACTGACTTCAGTGGACCCAGGATTGCATACAAAGGTACCTTCAATAATGTTGAGCAAAACGTTGGATTCAGAACACCGGTTTTCCATTTCGAGTTCAACCAGAAACGTCCACATGACCTGGGTAAGCCGCGTAACTCTCTGGGTCTCCCTTCTCCATCTGTAAGAAGGAGATTAAAGCATTTCCCTTCCTCACTGGAATATTGGGAGGATAACATTTGATAATAGGATCATAGGAAATTGGGGTGTATGAAACGGGCTGTATTCAATTCGGATTTGGATTCAGCCTGAATCGGGGACAGTGACTTGATTCGTTGATTCAGATCACTGTCCCCCATTTGATTCAGCCAAATCCAAATCTGAAGATTTGATGCCAATTGGGAGAATCAGCGATTCAGACATAGACACAGCTTGAAATGTTTTTTCTAGATACTTCGAGGTAGCAGGCGCGGTTCGTGAATGCTGTGATGGGGCAGATGGAGCATCCCACAGGAGCCCAGCCCCCCCGTGTGCTCAGCAGAGAATCTGGAAGTGGATCGCAAGTACTTCAGGTCCATTTCCGGGTCCACCATTGAGCATGCAGGGGCCCTGCACCCTCCAGCTTGGCAATCAGCTGCAGGGGGACCCTGAGTGCCCCCCCTGACCCAAAAGGCACCAGTCATCAAGGAGGGGCTGGGGAGAGACAGTGCACTCCCTGGTCGGACCGCGCCTGCTACCTCAAGGTATGTAGAAAAAACATTTAAAGCTAGCTGTCTCTATGTCCGAATCATTGGATCCTTCCAAATTTCTCTGAATCGATTCAGGGGGTTCTGATTCAATTCAGAGACATTAAAGGGTCTCCTGATTCAAGTCGAATTTGGAGATTCGGCCACCGAATTGAGCCAAGTCTCTGCCGAATCAAATCAAGGACTGAAGTTTCACACAACGCTAGTGAGAAAGTAACACTGGAAGGGACCACGAGGTCATCTAGTCCAGCGCCCTGCTCAATGCAGGATTTTCCCTGACTAAACTGCCTCAGTCAAATGTCTGTCTAACAAAAAAGATGTTCCTCGGATACTACAGTTATGATGCACCTATGGGAGCTTATGGGTTGTTTCAGGTTCCTACAGATTTCTTATATCTTAATCTCATGTTTAATAGCTTTACTAGATTGGAGGAACCTCATTTCTGTCTCAAGTCTCTTCCGCACGTAAAATGTTTGCTCACCTTTATAAAGATCTTATATATAAGCAGTAAATGTTATAATTCCTCTCTCTTCTAATTGGTTTGCATCTGCTGGTGTCAAAATCCTATTACAGTGTCTCAGTATGGCAATGAAGTACCATATTTGTCATCCATAGCTTATAACAAGCTTTTAAAGCGTATCATACCATATAATCACATACATATCAAGGAGCAATGTTAACAATAAATGTATCTTTTATTCACAGATAAAAGCTGAAGCAAGCTGTTATAATACACATTTGTACAAAGGATTTGAAAAAAAAACATAAAAAGCAAGATGATCAGAAAATATGATTCATTATGAAATGTGATATTACATACGCTATTAAACCTTTTCAAAAGTATTTGTTTGGCAACAATTTATCAATAGTTTCCACGCGTAAGTGGTTTCCTTCAAAAAAGCACAAATCCCATGCAGCATGTATAAACTTGATCCTGAGGGTTTGCCTTCCTTAGAAAAACTGTAAAAAGATATACTATTTGTCTTAAAAGTTCATAATGCAAATGCTTTTTATAGTCAAAACGATATAAAAATATGGACCTAACATAAACATTTACAAAAAGTTTTTTTCTTTTTTTGTTTGTTTTATGTTTTTGATAATAAATGTAATTCTCAATTCCTGCAGTCAGAGGGAAAAAAAACAAACAAACCACAGTGCCCTTTCTAGACTTCCTCGAGTTAGGTTAACAACTCTAAAAAAGAATGGGTCCATAATAACTGAGGTTAGTAACCAAGGAAGTAGTTAAGCAGTTAATATAGGTATGTATATATAAAATGGAAAACAAACATTTCTTTTGATCTGGAAAAGGAATAATACAAAAACAGAATGTAAAACAATTATCTCAAAATTCCATAATACACCTTTTCAATAGATAAATGCTCATAAAAATATCTTGAATTCTAACCAAGAAAACAATTATAATACAATTTTAGTTCTGCTACATAAAACAGCTTTTCTATGAAACAAGAAGGCAAGTTCAGGTATGAAAACATAATTTACTTATTGCTTTTGCTACAATGTTGGTTCTTTTTTTGTTTGTTTGTTTTGTTTTCTTACATAGAGTCATAAATACACTATACAGTATAAAATATTTCATAGGAATACATTTTGTGGTCTGCTTAGGTTTGCTGGCTTTAATTCTAGCACCAAATACAAAACTGAAAATCCAATTAACTTCAAAGGCACTTTTGTTGTTTGTTTTTTTGTTTCTAAAGTCTTGGTTTGTACTGTTTTTTTCAGCTCCCCTCTGTGAAAAAATGTCTAGTTCAACATTTGTCTTTGTACACTTCCGGTTGGGTTGAGGCACCATAATGATTTATAAAACATTCCAATTCCTCAATCTTCTACAACATTCATCGTTGCCTTAAGTCTTCACATTTCCTCCTTCACTTCCTAATGCCATATCCCTTTTTCTTCTTCTTGCTGAAGGTTTGCTTCACTTCCTACAGTCTCTTCAAAAACTACCTTCTCTCACTCCATCTTGCACATCAGTTATCATGCCAATATCGAAACATGTCACTATCATGACATGCGACTTGCACAGATTGACACATTGCTCCAGTTCCTCTGTCACTTGTTCCAGTGCCTCGAGATACTCCTGAGACTCCTTATCAAGGTCAGGGTCAACTTCAACTGTTAGCAAAAAAACAATTGTATGAGAGAAATAGTTTACGGTAAAGTATTATGTGTGGCATAATGCAATTTATTCAGTTGCTAGCAGCTGTTGTCATCATGTAGGAAAAGCAGTCCTAGGGGCCTATGGAATTCAATAGGAATTCTGCCACTAATTTCAGTGGAACCAGAATTTCATACCCAGGCTCCAATCTAGCACAGTACGCTAATCAAAAATCTGATTTCTTTACTTCCTTTCTATAAAATGAGGATAAGAATACTTAGTCCCTCTTGTAAAGCACCTTTTTTAATAAAACGCACAGTATAAATAGTATGGTCAAAGATCATTCATTTTTGCCTGCGTGACATTAAGCACAACATTAAGCATGTACTTCAGTCTTGCTGAAGCCAGAACTCACTTAGATACTTAACAGAAATACTTACAGTCTTCTTTCCACTTATTTGGATCCATCATCAACCTGCATTTTGTCTCTTCCAACTCTTCCTTTAAAACTTCATGCTTTGCCTTCACTTCTCTAATTCGCTGCTGGCGCCTTTCTAGTATCTTCAGCTTGGTATTGAAATACAGCAGACCCTTTTAAGACACAGAAAGGATATTTCATAAATCATCCTGTTATCAGCTGGCCTCTATCAGCACAGTCCAAACTTTGCCCACCTCATTAACTTGTAACACTTAACATGTTTTTTCCCCATGTTAAGTGTGCATTAATGGGTTCCGATCTACAGAAACAACATGTTGTAATCAGTTAAACACTTATTGCACTTTTTTTGAATTAGCATGCATTTGTTATTTACTCTAAAATTACTACTGTTTAAAGAGAAATTATTTTCTCCGCTGGTGCAAACAGTAAACAGAGTCTAATCATTTTTTTTTAATAGATGTGAGAGTTTTCTTTAATATACACACATGAAAACTGGTATTTACAGAAAAGCACTCCTACCTTTTCAACATCCTGGAAAGGCTATTATGAAAGAAACATGAAAAAATACATCAGAAGAATACAGATTTCTGGTCTCTGAAATAGAATTAGCTGAATTGTTTTCCAATTACAAGTAAATTAAACTCGGCACATCCCTGATTTAATAGAATTCTAACCAGAACACTTTATGTCATTTACATAAAGAGTTAATGATCCTATAGCAGAGAGAGGCTATAAAGTTTCATCAGGCAGGCTAAGATTATAACGTCTTCTCATAATGTATTCATTGGTATCCTGTACTCATGCCATCAGTCATGTTAAACACAATTAATTGTAGACAGTAATTATTTTCATTTTCTATGTTAAGGGCACCCCAACATATGAATTGTAAAATTAATAATTATAGTGCTTTAATTGCAATCAATTTCCCAAATGCCAAACCAGCATTCAAGCAAGGATTCTGCCTGTATACTGTAATTTAAGTTGTCTGGAGTTGTTGTAAAATATGTGCTGACCTCAGTTTCCTCTTGTCTGTGTCGCTGTAATCGTTCCACATCATCAATCTCATAAACTTTAATTTCAAATGGCTCTTTTAAAGTGCCTGGCAAAGGTGGTAGATCAACCCACTGGCCAGTCACACTGGGCTTCCTTCCTAGGGATGCAGCATCAGGCAGAGGAGCAGGAATCAGTCTACGACGCTGGAGACCTTAAATAAGAAAAGCACAGTGTTCCTCCATGCTGCCAAAACCCAAAGTACTAAAGTACTGCAAAATACACCCCCAGCAAGCTAAACATGTGGGCTTTCCGGACAGCCTAGGGGATATACATTCCTTTATCTTTTTTCTGCAATAAAAGTGAGAGGCAGTTAAGAACTTGATGTGTTTCAACACAGCCCCCTTTGTCCAACAGTCTAAGCAGCAGTAGTAGCTCTGCCTATGGTCATTTAAGTAGCATTTCTTTAGCACAGTCTTGCAAAATGTGACTTGAGGTCATCCATGCTTCTCCAGGACAGCAAAAGCAGGTGACTGATCTTTGTGCCAAAAGCTGGTGATTCTGACCAGATCTCCTACCCTTGAGTTAAATATAAACAAAAGTTTGTCTATCTAAAGTCTCCACTTTATTTTATAAAATGGCATCACATTATCCCCAGCTGTGCTTCCCCCACCCCCCAACACACCTTTTTCTTTTATCATAATCGCAGTCTTTTGGCCCACTGAACAGGCAAATGGCTTCCTCTACGACCAACGTCCAAGCTGCAAGGTGTTGAGAAACTGCAACACCCAATAACTTTAATGGGAATTGAGGGTGCTTGCATTTTCTCAGGCAGTAACTAGTCATGCTACCATTTTAAGTTTAATTTCAAGGGATAAAGAAACTCACTTATTCTTGGCCAGGGGTCTCCCAGACTTGCAAACAAATAACACTGTTACCAAGACGCCCTCTACATGTTACAGGTATTACACAATTACCTGGTTAATTGTGCAATTACCTTAAGACCAACTACACATGCAAAGTAGCTATCACACAATAAAAAGCTCCAACCAGTTATAAAGTGAGACCTTGAAAATGTGTGCTAACTTTATAGCTGGTTGCTAACAAGCTTTAATTTGCATGTGTAGCAGGGTCTCCCCTGCACCTGGGAGCTCCGTCAGCTGACAGGGCTCCTAGCCACAGGGATGCACCATGCCCAGTGTGAAAACCCCAAGCTCTGGGAATCACAGCTGCCACAATCCCCAAGGCACAGGTGTGCACAAGGCTCTTGGTCCTGGCCACGCCTCACATGCAGCCAGTACAGAGTTCTGCAGCTGACAGGCTCCCAGTCCTAGTTATGCCGCACATGAGGTGCAGCCAGGACTGGGAGTGCCATCAACTGCAGGACTCTGGGTCCCAGCTGCACAAGGCCCCCATGGCTGGAAGGCCCCTCAGCAAGGGGGCTTCCAGCCACGGGAGCCTGCTTCTTGCCAGTGCAGAGGAAGCCCAGGATCCAGGTCCGCCTGCACTGGCAATAAAGCATGATTGGATCTAATGTGTAATCCCACAATCACACCTCCCACCACGCACGTATGGTATGGGAGGAGGTGTGATTGTGTGGATCATGCACTAAATCCAATCATGCCTTTACCTGCATGTGTAGAGGGGAGCCCAGATATATTAATTTACGCCAGCAATTCCTAAAGCAGAGGCCAACTTGTTCCAATAACAAGTTGACTTTACTCTTAGTTCTTTCTATAAACCTAAAGCAAGGGTGAGCAGTGCACGGCCCAGGGGCTGCACACACCCTCCAGAGCAATCCCAGGGGCCCACCAAAATCCTTCATTAAACCACTTCAAAAAACAAAAAAGGAATTGTCCACCAGAACAGCAAGTCCTGTGTCTTTATAGCAGCATGTTAATCTGAACACACTTGCAAACATGCTGAGAGCTTATGTCTGTTAACTGGGCACCTTTTTCACAAGCTGAAATTATTTCATCTGTCACAACTATGATCTTGGCCACTGAAGTCACAACTGAAACACTGACCCCCATATGAGTGGGGCCCATCCAAAGTCACTAAACAGCAGTAGCCAGTTCCATATACCCAGCAGATTCACTTCATGCTACCCAACAGACCCAATATGAACTCTCTGGGACTTCTGGTGGGTGCAAGGGATTTGTCTACATGGAGAGGATTGCCAGTTTAGCAATTAGGTTTCTGTGGATTTTGATGGGAGTAGGATCAGCACCAGAATAGATTCCTCTTCTGTAGCTCTCCTAAATCCAAAGGCTGTAAATCTCCAATCCAGTTGTCCAGTTTAAGCTAGCCCCAGATCATGACTAACATGTCATACTGAATAAAGTATATTTTAGGCCAATAACAGCCCTCATGCTTGTATGGTATTTAATAAAGCTCCTATGAAGCCCCATTTCATGTATAAAATATATTAGTGTTTGAAAATCTAAAGCACTCAAAAAGTAAGGTATAATTTACTGAGAGAGGACAATTTCAATTGAAAAAGAAATAGTTTGTCATTTTTAAAGACCTTATAAGCATTTCCTGGGGCAAAAACAAATACAAATCCATCAGCGAGTAATACCTTCTCAATATGTGTGCAACTTTATACAGCTGTTAATATTGATTTGTAGGAGAGGCTTAAGAGGTTGATGTGCTATGAAAAGAGAACAGCAGCAAATGTTGCACATGGCCTCTGAACTGATTTATCACCCACCAAAGCAACTCAGTTGCTATGACCAGAAAGCACCAGAACATATACATCAGTCTAACTCATTTTGCTGCACTGTCAGAAGCAAATATCCTGTGCTCCTAGAGAAAATGTAATAATGACCTCTCTCCAACCCAAGTATCAAAGTCAGCAGGCTCTGACTCCTATTCTTATCCTACTACCATCCACAGTTCTGTTAAAGTTAAGAGTTGCAGGATCAGACCTTCAGTTATGAGCTATGATTGCACAAATTGCAGTGAATCCTCGTTTGGAAGGTTGTTTAAGCTTTCCCTACCATGCAACCAGCCCAATAAAAGATATCTCCCACAAAATCCTTGCCTCGCATATTTTCTGGACCATCACAGCTACATCACTCCAATACTATAAATAACTATAGTCTTCAAGCTAGAAACACAAACCTGTGTCCAAAACACAAACAGTAAATCCCAAATAGATCACAGAATCACAGAAAACAGGGGCTGGAAGGAACCTCAGGTGGTCATCTAGTCCCACCCCCTTCTCAAAGCAGGACCATCCCCAACTAGATCATCCCAGCCAAACTTTCTCTACTCTGGTCTTAAAAACCACAAGGGATGGCGATGCCACAGTCTCTCTAAGCAGCCTGCTCCAATGCTTCACAACCCCCCTCATAAGAGAGTTTTTCCTCATTTCTAACCTAAACATCCCTTGCTGCAACTTGAGACCATTAGTCTAGCACCATCCTCTCTGGGATCACCCTTCAAGTAGTTGAACGCTGCTATTAAATCCCCTCTCAGTCTTCTCTTCTCTAGACTAAATATGCCCAGTTCCCTCAGCCTCCCCTCATCAATCATGTTCCCCAGGCCTCAAAATATTTTCATTGCCCTCCCCTGAACTCTGTCCAATTTATCCACATCCTTTCTGAAGTAGGGAGCCCAAAACTGGACACAGGACTCCAGATTTTTAGAAGTAGATCGCATCCACTGCTCCCCCCACATCCACAGAGCCAGTCATCTCATCATAGAAGGCGATCAGGTTGGTCAGGCATGACTTGCCCCTGGTGAATCCAACTGGACTGTTCCTAATCACCTTCTTCTCCTCCAAGTGATTACAAATGGATTCCTTGAGGACCCACTCCATGATTTTTGCAGGGACTAAGGTGAAGCTGTAGCTTCCCAGATCCTCCTTCTTCCCTTTCCTCTTTCTTAAAGATGGGAACTATCTTTTCACATGCAGCCAGTACAGAGTTCTGCAGCTGACCTTTTCCAGTCATCCAGGGCCAATCCTGATCACCACAAGTTTTCAAAGATAATGGCCAGCAGCTGTTCAATCATATCAACCAACTCCCTCTGCACCTTCAAGTACATCCCATCCAGCCCCATGGACTTGTACATGTTCATCTTATTAAAATAGTCCCTAACTTGTTCTTTCACCACTGTTGGCTGTTCATCTCCTCCCCAAACTGTGCTGCCTGGTGCAGTAGTCTGGGAGCTGACCTTGCCTGTGAAGACTAAGGCCAAAAAGTCATTGAGCACTTCAGCCTTTTCTGCATATTCTGTCACTAGGTTGCCTTCCCCATTCACTAAGGGACCCCCACTTTCCCTGATCCTCCTCTTGTTGCTGACATACTTGTAGAAACCCTTCTTGTTACTCTTCACATCCCTTGCTAGCTGCAACTCCAACTGTGCTTTGGCCTTCCTGACTTCATCCCTGCATGCCCGAGCAATGCTCTTGTACCCCTCCCTACTCATTTCTCTAAGCTTCCACTTGTGAGGGTCCTTTTTGCGTTTTAGCTCATTAAGAGTTCCTTGCAAAGCCAAGCTGGTTTTCTGCCATACTTGCTAGTCTTCCTGTGCACTAGGATGATTTGCTCCTGCACCCTCAGTACGGTTTCTTTAAAGTACAGCCAGCTCTCCTGGACTCTTTTCCTCCTCAGATGGGCCTCCTCAGGGATCCTGCCCATCAGTTCCTTAAGTGAATTGAAGTCTGCTTTTCTGAAGTCCAGGGTCCTTACTCTGCTGCTCTCCACCCTTCCTTTCCTCGGGATCCTGAACTCAGTCATATCATAGTTGCTGCTGCCCACATTGCCACTGACTTCTACATTCCCCACCAATTCTTTCTTGTTTGCAAGCAGCAGATCAGGAACAACATGGCTCTTAGTTGGCCTCTCCAACACTTGCACCAGGAAATTGTCCCCAACACTCTCCAAAAACTTCCTGGCTTGCCTCTGCGCTGCTGTATTGCCCTTCCAGCAGATGTCAAGTTAATTGAAGTCCCCTGTAAGAACCAGGGCCCATGATCTGGAAACTTCCACTAGCTGTCTGAAAAAAGCCTCATCCACCGCATCCTTCTGGCCCACTGACTGATAGCACACATGCACAACATCATCCTAGTTACTCTCCCCTCTGACCCAAACCCAGAGACTTTCAGTAGGCCTATTCCCAGTTTCATACTGAAGCTCTGAGCAATTATACAGCTCTTCTATATAAACAGCAACTCCTCCTCCGCCTGTTCCCTGCCTGTCCTTCCTGAACAGTTTGTACCCATCCATGACAGTGCTCCAGTCATGCAAGCTCCCAGCAAGTCTCTGTTATTCTAATCACATCACAGTTTCATGACTAGGTGAGGACTTTCAATTCTTCCTGCTTGCTTCCCAGGCTCTGAGCATTTGTGTACAGGTACCTGAGGTAACTAGTTTATTATCCTACTTTCTCAGGAAGAATGAGAAGACCTCCTCTGTTGCCCTGTCCTTCTTGTGCTTCCTCCAGGTCACCTGCTTCCTCACTTACCTGCAGGTTTTGGCCTCCATCCCCTGATTAATCTAATTGAAAGCCCCCTCACTAGGTTAGTGAACCTGTCTGTGAAGACAATCTTCCCTCCCTTCATCAGGTGGATACCATCTCTTCTTAGCCATCTTTCTTCTTGGAACAGCATCCTGTGGTCAAAGACACCAAAGCCCTGCTGGAGACATCATCTGTGTAGCCAGGCACTGATCTGTGGGATGCATCTGCTCCTGGCCAGGCCCTTTCCCTTGACCAGAAGGATCGAGGAGACCACCTGAACCCCTGTCCCCCTCACCCTTACGCCCAGAGCCCTGTAGTCACTTTTGATCTTCTCAGGGTCCTCCCTGGGAGTATTACTGGTGCCCACATTGAAGGCCAGCATGGGTTAATAGCCAGAGGGCTGGATGAGCCTCGGTAATCCTTCCGTGACATCTCAGATCTGGATTCCAGGCAAGTAGCAAACCTCCCAAAAAAACAGGTCAGAGCAGCAGATGGATGCCTCCATCCCCCTTGCAGAATGGAATTGCCAACCATTACAACCTGTTACTTTCTTCTGGTGGTCTCCCCAGCCTTGTAGAGGCATGGCCTGGCCTCTTCTGCTAATGGAATTTGCTCCTTCTCCTCTGTTACTGGGCTCCGTATCTGCTCTCCAGCCAAACTGCTGCAGGTGGGGATAAATATTTCTGCTTGTTGCCAGAGTACGCATGCTTCCAGTTTCCACCCTCCTGGGAGTCCAGGTCCTCCTCTCTCTAGCGTTGCCTCCATCAGTCCTTCCTCCACAGTCCTAGAAGTTTCCTTCAGTGTCGAATCGAATCCTCATGGGTGAAGATGCTTCAGAGCCTCGCCACCTCCTCCTGTAGCTCTTACCTGCACCCTGAGGAACATGACCAGGAGGCACCGCTCACATTGCAGGCACTCCCCTAACATGACTGTCACTGGAAGGGACCTGCAAGCCACAGTCCCCACGGCAGCAAACCAGGACCTGGGTGGAAGCGTCGAAGGCGAGCAGTTGTGGATGGACAGACCTCACAGGTGCAAGCAAAGGAAGAACTGGCAGTGGCTCTGGCATTGCAACATACTCCAGCCATCTCCTTGAGTCTCTTAAATCTGCTGCCTACCCTCTTCCTGCTCCTCTCTCCAAGCAGACTTTCCCTAGCAAACTCTCCTGTTCGCTACTCCTTGGTCCTGAAAGATTCCCTTTTCCCTGCTAACCTGCCTCCTCTCACTAAGTTTACAGTGAAGGAAGATGAGAGAGTTACCAAGCAACCTCCCTAGCAAACTCCCCACTCGCTCTGGTATCTAATAACAAGGGATTTAAATACTGACCAGTATCAATGAAGCAAACAGATGCATGCTACTGAAGGTGAGTAAGGATGATGGAATTGTGACCCATGTTAAATCGCTGTAGTCACTGTGGTGGCTTTAGAAGAGTTGATCTTATTACAAACACACATGAATGGAAGCCACACCTCTCTGAATGTGATTGCACTAGTCTTCTTTCCCTTTTATCATTTGCATTTAAAGTTGCTGTTTAAAGCTATGAAGTTTTATAATTTGGTAATTAACAGAATTAATATCATAGAAGCAGGGCTGGAAGGGACCTCTGGAGGTCACCTAGCCCAACCCCCTGCCTGACACAGGATCATCTATAGTCAAACCATCCCATACAAACATAATTAAACTTGACACAAGACTACCATCAACCCTGACACTCACAGACCTAATACCCCAGCCTGCCACCTGTAAAGCAGGGGATCCACAGCAGCCAATGCCCTGCTTCTATGAAATGTTGTTAATATATTTTCAAGAGGTCCCGGATAGAGGGCCACGCACCCTACTACAGCTGAAGGCAAAACCTCCCGCCATCCATATCAATCTGACCATGAGGTAAAATTCCTTCCTGACCCCAAATATGGCCATCAGTCTGACCCTGAACAGAGAGGCAAGACCCTCTAGCAAGGAGCCTCTGTCTTTGGTCCCAGCAGCAGCATTGGCCCACCCCAGTCAAAATCCCCAGCACTGGCTGTAGCCAACATCCAATGCCTCTGGGAATGCTTGAAAACACCCTGACACATGTAGCAGAAAGCAGGGGGACAGGGGCAACCAACCCAGAAGCACGGGAAATACCCATGCTAGAACACCGAACACATCTAGATCATCCCCAACCAGTGGCTGTCCAACCTCTTCTTGAACAGCTCCAGTGCTGGAGAGTCCACAATTTCCCCAGGCAGTCTAATTCCACTGCCTCACTGCTCTAACAGGGAGGAAGTTTTTCTGGATATCCAATCTAAACTTACTTTGCTGCAACTTCCAGCCATTGGTCCACGTCCTTTTCTGTGCAGCAAAAGACAAAAGATGCTTTCCCTCTTCTTTATGGCAGTCCTTCAAGTATTTGAAGACTACTATCATGTCCTCTCTTAAGTGCCTTTTCAAGCTGCACGTGCTTAGCTCCTTCAGCCTCTCCTCATATGACTTGCTTTCCAAGCCCTTGATTATCCATTGCTGCCTGCCTCTGGACCCTCTCAAACTTCTCCATATCCTTTTTAAAAAGTGGAGTACTCCATATGAGGCCTAACCAGTGCCAAGAAGAAAGGCACTACCACCTCCCAGGTTTTGCAATATAAAAGTTAGCATATCTGATGTATACACTGTCTCTTCTTCTGGTACACTGTACTCATCTCAACCTGTAAACACAAACTGAACTACAACTATGCTGATAATTCACAGACCTACTGCACTACTCTGTATCTGCCATTTTCTGTCCAAACCAAAACTTCAGCTTGTCTCTCTTACCTCCAGAAGGACAACTACCTCTACTCTTCCACACTTGACCTCTGTAGACAACATCCCCACCCTGCCTGTCACTCAAGACCATAAACTACCACCTTCAAACTCTCTCTAGGTCTTCACATCCAGGATACAGTTATGCATTGCACGTTCTTTCTACATAACACCTCTAAGACTGACCCATTCCTGTCCATCTTCACTGGTGAAATTCTTGTCCATGATGTCACAATATCATGACATGATTACCACAACATGCTTTACTCTGGCTTTCACAAATACAGATGCAATCATGTCTCACCAGGATATTGCAGCAATAATCATTTTCCCTCCCACTGCTTCGACCCTGTCTTACACAGTCCTTCACTGGAATCCCCACTCTATCATATCAAACTGCTTGTCTTCACTTCCTATTTGCGCCCTACCTTTCATCTCTCATTCACCATCAACAAGTCAACATTGCTATTAGCCCACTTGTTAAGACTTTCAGACAAGCACTTTAATGCTTTTTCCCTGCCGCCCTTCATGCTTGGAACCAGCTCTCCAAAACATCCACAAAGCGAGCTCATTATTCTCCTTCAAAGTTCATCCTCAGCTTACCTTTTCCACCACTCCTACCAACAAAAAAAAACTTGACATCAGTTAGACTGCTGATGTGTTATGCATACTGATCAAAATTATTTTGTAGTGTCCTTGTGGTCTTCTGTCACACTGTGTCCATCTGTTGTCTCTTGTTGTAGACTATTTGGCACTTTGGACTAGAGCTGCACGAAGCTTTGGTTCCCGATTCGATTCAGCGGAGATTCAGCCCAATTTGGCCGACTCTCCGAATCGAATTAGAGGACCCTTTAATCTCTCCGAATTGAATCTGAACCCTCCAAATAGATCCAGAGATTCGGACATAGACGCACCTTTAAATGTTTTTTCTACATACCTCAAGGTAGCAGGGGGCTCATGAATGCTGTGATGCTGGGGCGCATGGAGTGTCCCACAGGAGTGGGGGGGCTCCCCAGCGTGCTCAGCAGCAGACCCGGAAGTGGACCAGTACTTCTGGTCCACTTCCAGGTTCGCCACCGAGCACGTGGAGGGCCCCCCCACACTCCTGCAGGATGCTCCGCTCACCCCAGTGTCACAGCATTCACAAGCCGCGCTAGTACCTCGAGGTATGTGGAAAAAACATTTAAAGCTGTGTCTATGGCTGAATCGAATCACTATCCCTGATTTGGGCCAAATCCAAATCAAATAGGGCCTGCTTCACACACCCCTACTTTAAACCCATCTTTTTGTTCTTTGCTGCACAGCACCTAACACAATGAGGTCCTGGGCCCATGATTAGGACTCTGATGCCCTACAGTAATGCAACATGTACATGCAATCCTTTAACTGTGCTAGGAATCCACATTCAGTTTAAATAACCTAGATTGTAACTTTGGAACCATAATAAAAACTCAATATCCCCAGAAAAGATTATGAAAATATTTAAGAATTTCTAAAATGCTGAAAATTCGAGCTCAAGCTCATTTTGGTTTCTTACCTGTTGATCTTTTCTTGGGGGATTTCAAACTTCTCATCCTTCCCGGCGATGACATTCCACTTTCACTCATCGAGTCATGTGCCGAAGAAGCACTGCCCGTTGCTTCACTGTCACGAATCATGCTTTCATAGCCACTACTGCCACCACTGTGGTAGAAAAGAGCTGTCCTTCCCATTGCTGGTGGCAGTTCTCCACTTAACACACTACTATTATCACTGCCATGCCCACTGCTATACCGCTGAGGCCTCCGGGGCGCAGTTATCTTGCTGTATGGAGATGGCAACACTGGAATTTGTGACTTTTCATCGCTGAGGTTTATACCACTGTCGTTCCCACTGTCAGAGTCCGTGGAACCTCTGAAATGCCCCACCTTCGCAGAACTGCCTGAGACCAGTTCATTAACACGGCTGTTGGCTGCCCTAATTGCCTGCTTCGTCCCCATAATAGTTCCTCTGCCAGGTTTGCTGTTGACACCCTGCATCGATCGTGGGGCAGTTTTCCCACTGGGAGGAATGCTAGAGCTCTTTCCAACAGACTGAGTCAGTGATTTCACAGAGGAGCTAAGGGACCTTGACCCATTTGTAGAAAGACTGCGGTTTTTATTTCCATTGGCCTGAGACTTCGGATTAGTTGCATTTTTTGCTTGGCTGTTTTTACAGGGTAACGGTGCAGTATACGACTGTGGTGAAGTCGCACCTGAAGCAACGGGGGGAACGCCCAGCCTTGGGACAGATCGCCCTGCTCTCCCATTGCTCGCACTAACATTACCAGTTTCCCTCATCATATTTGCTTTGGATCCAACTGACGTCAGACTTTCACACCTCTCGAGAGACATGTGACTCCCATATCGATGAACCGTTTCACTTTTAGATGTTTTAGTCTTTAAGCTGGAAGTCATTTTAGGCAAAGAATGGTCTCCCTTGAGGTTGGTTTTACTGCCGGCACTTTCATTAAGATAAGGCCCGGCTTTTGACCGCAGGTCTGCCTCTTCCTCAGCTTTTGTTGCTGTGATTCTAGCAGACTCCACTCCAGCCGTTTTGCCCCCACCACTTACCAGTGCCACATTTTTCTGCTCTAGGCTTGATTTGCGTACAGGTGGTGTTGGGGGTATCGTCCCACTCGGCCTTGGGAGCATGCTACATTTTTGTGGCAGACACTTCTTTCCCAGAGATGATTTCAGGCTACCACCAGCAAAGGCAATTTCAGAATTTCCTCTAGCCGTTGCCTCTGATGGACCATTATTACTGTGTGTCACTGGCATCACACCCAGGGTGGTGGCTCCTCTCTTAAGCTGGGGCATCTTCATTGCTGCTTCCGATTTTTTATTGGCTCCATTGGAAGATTTGCAAACCATTTCACAACCATCTACAACCCTCTGAGAACACGCAAGCATTGTCTGCGATTTAGTTGGCCTGGCGGCACTACTGAAATATTGGGCAGCTTTGGCTGGCTGCTTCTCAGTACCAAATGGAAGAGATTTTGGGGACAGCAGGGAGTCTTCAGTTTTTGCTTCTGATTGATTATCTGCGCGCAACAGCCAGGGATCATCAAACATGTCACGTGGATTCTGCAGTTCTCTGTAGTTTAGGATGGCATTATCGTGGGTTGGAGATGAGGTAGTTTTTGTTTTCCTAGGAAGACTAGAATGTATCGTTTCTATCACAGATGTATCTCGACAGTTACTGAGTTTAACTTTTACGGGCTGATCAGTTACACAAAAAGCACTTTTCATCTGAGATGCTTTGGTTAATTCAGAGGTTTGCGGGCTCTGGCATGAAGACATTTTGCAGGAACTCATGCTCTCATTCTCCAGCTCAGAAAAGCAAAATCCACTGTCATTCAGGGAGCTTTTCAGTGGGGCAGTTACGTTGGATGAATCCAAGTTAAAAGGCTCCTTGGACTTATTACAGCTGAAGGCTGACTGTGCAACAAAACTGTCACTGGACTGGGCTCCATCACTTTCAATGGTACAAATGCTCACTTCACTCAGCCAAGAACTGATGGACGAACGTCTGCTACTAGAAAATGGATCCTCAGCAAAGGGCACAACAATATCGATATTTACACCAGTACAGCTTTCCTGAGAGGTATAAGCATCAAACTCATCATTTATACTGCTAATAATACTAACCGGCCTGGAGCCCGACGCAAGAGCCTGAAGGGAACAGTCGCTGTTAAAGCTAATGATGCTGGAAGGTCTTCCATTATCCAAAATCCCGCTGATGGAGAGTTCCTCTACCACCGTAAAAACCAGCTCATCCTCCCCATTGAGCTCCACAGGCTGCTGTAAAGTCACAGTGGTTGTCAGTATATCCCGGTCAAAACATTTTCCTCTGAAGGCTGATCGGAAACTATGAACCTCTATAGCACCTGCCTGATTCGGCCCATTGCTACCAACTAAAAGCATGCTTTCTGCAGGGTTATGCTCTGGTTTGCTTGCCATTTGTTTGCTCATTCCTACGGGAGGAGTCCGGATTGCATTGCTATTGTCCACCTCACATGCTTCTTTGGACTTCAGAGCATGGTCTTTCTGTTGCGGGGGTGGGGGCGCAGGGCTTGGCAAAGGTCTCTTCACATACAGAGCTTTTTCTTTAACTATAGGTTCAGTCATGGCCTTACTCTGCTCTCGACTCCTGGAAGGGTTGCATTTTGACAATTTCAGTGAATCTGTGATTGTCTCTTTCTCTCTCTCCCCATCCAAAGCTGGGTCTGGTTTCTTGCCTTCAGCTTTGGCTTGCTGTTTGGGATGTTCCCCTTTCACGTGTGGGGAGTTATTCTCGTGACAGACCCCAGCTCTTTGCACACCGGCCTGCAAATTAAGGTTTTGTCCCTTTTTTGGAGATGCGGTTTCCGGTGGAACAGGTTTCTTATACCCTCCACAAGAAGAGGATGTTTTTTCCTTTATCAGTTTAGACTGCATATTTTCTGTACTCCCCGGGGCTGAACTACAGCTGGATGCAATGGGTATTTCTCCACAGGCAAACTTCATCGGCTCCTCGCTTCCATCAATACATTCTAACCTTTCTTGCAATTCAGCAAAAGTGTTGCATTTAAAATGGTCCTTGTCAGAACTTCTAGCAATAGCAGAGTTGTCTTTGCTTCTCTTTTTGTTCAGGGAAGGGATTATAGGAACAAACTCTGGAGGTCCTTCATTATCAGTCAGCTCCCTGTCGGACAAAGCTGCACCATTGGGACCAACATAGATGACAGTATCACACGATTGCTCGCTACTGGAGGAATAATCAGGATCACTAGATATACTCAGTACAGGAATATCAGGGTCCAGGGCTACAGTCCGTGGGTGAAATGGTCTCAAGTGAGGTGGTCTTCGAATGTGGCCTTCTTCACATGAACTTTCCCCTCCAGATGAGCTGGATGCATACTATTAACAACAGGTAGGAAAAATAATATTATTTTTTATGACAGATGGGAAAAACTAGTTCAGTGTATACAGAATGATACACAATCAGTCACCTGTGTGACTAACAAATTTTTACAGTGCAAATTTAAACAAAAACCTATTCTATACATTTTAATAGCATAAAAGTAACACAACAATCATGCTTCTTCAGAGAATTTTCATAACATTAAAACACCCTGTCATCCTTTAACATGAATACCTTCTGCTCATTCTTCATTACTTTTGGATTAGCACAAACTAAACCTTTGG